CCGTTGTCAGCCTGCACAGCCTCAGAAACAGGAAGCAGGTGGGCCCACGGCTCCCTTCGCTTCTTTCACAGTGGCTGGAAACTGGGTTGAAACAAGAAAAAAAACCTGCTTGCTAAAATAAGCAAACATTTTGGGGAAGGAGAGAGAACCATCTCTAGCTTGGTTACTATGGGAACGTTTCTGCATCAACTACAAGAGGGAGAGAAGTTCTCCTTGGCCAGAGCAGCCCAGCGCCGAGGGCCCGCCTGCCCAGAGGTGTGCATACCGACACAGGAAACCATGGAAACTTCTGAGCACTCAAGAGATGTGCCTTTAGCTTCCATGGTATGCTTGGTGCCTGCTTTTTGCCCTCCTCTGCCCAGGGAGGTGCAGCCTTCTGGCTCCCACTCAGGGCTAGCACTGGCTCAGGAGGGCTCCTACATCCCCAGGCCCAACCCTGGCCTCACTGCCTCTTACTCCAGCCCTCCATGTCTTCCGTGCCCTCCCCCCACTCCACCAATGCTGTGAACTGTGAAAGGACATGCACCAAGGCCTAGGCCAGGCCCAGCCAGGGCAGAAAAGGCCGCGAGACCTCAACCAACGACATTCGACAACTCTGGCTCTGTTTTGGCAAAGACCAGACTAAGCTGCCCGGTGGGAGAGGGCTGGGGTCATAGGGCCTTCAGCTGAGGCTCTGACCAGCCCTGGAGCATGAGACCAAGCCCAGAGCTCCAACCTGCTTGGCAGACAGCCCCAAAGCAGGGATTTTCCACAGCAGAGGAAAGCGGTGGCTGGGAGCTGTTACCTCTCAGTCAAGTTAGGAACAGTGGGACTGGAGCTGGACCAAGTTCATCTCTCTCTCTCTCAAATGTTTGTCCAACCACACTGCTGGGCCCTGCTACATGCCACATCTCTGCTGCTGTGGGCCCCTAGTCCACTGTGGGACAGGCCCCGTGTGCAAGGAGCTCTAGTCAAGAAAGCTAACTGGAGCCCCAGGTCACACTCACCCACCCTTCAGCACCCATCCCCCCCCCCCATGAAGGCTCTGCTAGCATTGCCTCAGGCATGGTCCAGCCTTGAGGGGCTCCCCCTAGGGTGCCTCTAACCCTGGCCTCCAACCTTTCCTGGATGAGCAGCACCTACCCTGCCAGTGAAAGCCCTGCCTCCAGCCTACCAAGACCCCTCGAAGATTTCGCCATCCCTTCGACATGCCCCATAGCATCCTACTCTAGAGGCCCAGTATGAAGGGACATGCATGTGGGGCTCTACTGCAAGCCTCCGAGTGTCCTGGGGCAGGGGCCCCACAGCGGCCAGCACTGGCTAGACCAGGAGAACATGCTTGGAGACCATTTGTTAAGGGAGAAGACACGACTACAAACAATCCACAAATGCTCAGCAAGCACCTTCCCTGGGCCAGGCTGGGACAGGCCAAGGACTCAAAGAGGAACGCGAGGACAGCACAAAGACACTCGCATAGGGAGGCCCACTGCAGCTTGCCTGTGAGCACAGAGACTGGCCCTATGTACGTTCCTACCCAAGGAGACTGTGGCCCGCGCACAACACAATCCTGGAGGCAGCTGCAAAGAGCAAGACGGCGTATACTTCTCACAGGGACATTCTCCAAGACAGTGTCAGTGAAAAAAGCAAGTTGCCGAAAATTACCCCCCTACACACACACACACACACACACACACACACACACACACACACATTTTTTAAAGCTGCATGACAAATTTGTCTGATTTTGTACACACACACCTGAAAAAAACAACAACAACAGCCTGGCCACTCACGTTAGTCCTGAGAAGGGCACAGTGCCTGGGGAGGGGAGGGGGAGTGAGGGGAGACGGGAAGTGCAAACCAGGGGGTCTGGGCTCTGTTGTGTCTGAACTATTTGCAGTGACAAGGTGACACAATTTTTAGAAATTGTCATTGAAAAACAACAGGAGGGTCCCCTAGCCTGGGCCCTGAGGATGGCGGGGGGACACTCAGACAGCCACTTGGGTGAGTGATGCCAAAGGTGGGCAGCCTGGGTGGCCCAGGACAGTGGGGATTAAAGGGATGGCAATTCGGGGTGCTTGATGACCCTACCTCACCCTCCCTGCCCCATGCCTTTGCCCTCACCCCAGGCAGAAAACCCCAGTGCTCATTAGAAGGGAGAAGAGCCAGCCTGCTCATCCTGACCTACAGCCTCAGCTGTCAGAGGCACAGCCCCATCACAGCAGTCAGCCGTCTGCTGCTCCATAAACGTGGTAGCAAACAATTTCCTCACACTTGATAAAATCTGCTGGACAAACTCACGTGCTGAGAGCACGCAGGGTCATACTTTCTGATGGGCTGGGTGTGGTCCTGGCCGGAGGAGATATCCGCCCTGGAGGTCTTCCTAGAGTAGTGGCAAGGACAGGGTGGGGTGGGCTCCACAAGGGCCATCTGTCACCAACCAGCTGGGAGCTCCTGTCCCTCTGTTATTTCACAAATAGGGGTGCAAGTATCTGTCTGGGCTCTGCCCAGAGGTTAACCTTTCAGGCTCAAGGAGCACGAGGCGCCCCAGCCCATCTCCAAAGAGCAGAGCTGAGAAAGCAGAGTGGCCGGCCAGGACTCGGGCTGGGAGAGGGCCTGAAGGTGGTAAAAGCAGTGGGTCTCTGGGAAGCACAGAGGGACAAACAGCTGACCTGAAGGAGGCAAAGCGCCGAAAACATCAGTCCAGGCTGAGTAGTGTGTATCTACGGGGGCTCTGGCAGCCTTCCCTCCCACAGGCACAGCCTGACTGCCCTTCTGCAGGGCTCATTGTCTGGGAGGCCCTGGAAACCACAGGAGGAGCTGCAGGAAACGAGCCCAATGAAGAAGGGACCTGGGACACCTGGCGTCCAGCTCAGGTGTGCTCCAGCAGGGCAGGCATCTGAGGTGTCGGCCTCCTGAACTCTACCATTTAGGAAGGCTGAGTGCTTCACCATGAGGAAAAAGGGGATGTTGGGTCTCTCCTTCCAACATCACCACACCGTGTTTAAGGGCAAAGCACCAACAACGGGGGAGGGTGGAGGAAGGGAAACAGTTTTCTTGAGCACCTACCATGTGCCATGCCCCGAGTTAGGGACAATACCCCATTATCTAACTTGATCGCTACAATTACTCTTCGAAGCAGATAATAGGAGCCTATTTATAAGGGAAGTAAATAATCCAGGAGCTCACTGAATGTAAGTCAGTTGCCTGGTTCTAACTTGGGTTTAGCAACTGCAGAAAAAAAAAAAAGTCCACAAAACACTGACAAAGGGCCCATTTCATTAATCTATAAAGAGGTCTTATAAATCAATAAGAAAAGGACCAACAATCCAATAGGAAAATGAACATGAGTAGAAACTGCACAGAAGAGAAATTAAAACTGCTAACATATCACGGTCAATGCCGCTCATAATGAAAGAAACAATTGTATTTTTCACCTACCGAAGAGCAAATATGAGACAGTTCAACACATTATCACAGTGTTGATGAAGTCTGAAAAAAATGAGTCTAAGGTGGGAGTGTGGGCTGGATCTGTGAAGGGTCATATCTACTAAAACTTTAAAGGCACACCACAAACCCTTTAACCCAGGAACTGCTTCTAGGAATTCATCCTAGGAATCGACTCCCGAATATATGCAAAGATGTATATTTTTGTACAAAGCATTGTTTGTGATAACAAAAGACTGGAAAGAGTCAATAGGGGATGGGACATCCGTACATTGGGAGAACTATGCAGTTATTAAAAAGAACGAGCAAGTTCTAAAACACTTTCCAAGATATACTCTAAAGTGGAAAAAACCAAACAAACGAAAGACCAAGGAGCAGAAAAGCACGTGGACTTTGTCTTGGTGTGCATCTCCGTGCACTGGCTTATAAACGGGCAGACACCCTCTGGATGGACACACACAGGACGAAGACCAGTGGCTGCTACGGAGCAGTGGCTGCGGCCTGGGCATCTGGGTAGGAGGGAGCTTATCTTTCACTACAAACTCCTCGGTACCCCTTGGTACTGTGCAGACTGATTACAGATTACATCTACCATGTGTCTATAAAGTACCCACAGAGAGAGGGGTGGCAGACGCAGGGCTGGCCCGCAGACGCTCAGCCTGGGAGAGGAGAACCATGGACCCAGACACCCCACCACCTGGCCGGCTCTCAGTGGGGACCTCACCGTGCCCATGTGCCTCCAGAACCAGCCTCTATCACACCCCTCCAGACCTGCCTCTCTTGGCTCCCGTTCAGGTCAACCCCACCCTTCAGTTTCTCTACATGTAACAAGGTATGGGAAAAATACAGGAGAAACCAAAGCTCAGAAGGTCCATGTGACTTGCCAAAGCCATCCAGCTAGGAGCTGGCTGTGCTGAGAGAGATGGTGGAAGACAGGTGACAACTTGGCAGTGGAACAGAGTGAGCAGGGGCCATCTGTCTCTGTGAGGGGCAGAGTGAACGAGGGAGGCCTGGGCCCAGGTGGGGCAGATGTGGGCCTTAGGGGGCCTCAAGATAGGGGGCAGATAGGCCACGGTGCTGGGCTATGTCCTGCCCGGGGAATGGGTCTCTAGCCACACGGAATGCGAGGACTGGAAGGGCGCTGAAAGCCCAGCACTGGCCAAACTTGTTTTTAAGCAGTATAATCAGAATCTCCAGGTGCTGCAGACCACATGGGGGGCACACGGAGCTGCTCTAGGGAAGCAGGGGTGTGGGCATGGAGGCCCTCTCACCACTGCCTGCCACAGCTCCAGAATACCTAGGGCTCCAGAGGACACGCCGAGCTTGTCCACGCCTCTCCCCAAAGATGGGCAAACCGGTGCCCGGAGCTGGGAAGCAACATGCCAGAAGTCACTCGGCAAGCATGACCCCACTCCCGAGTCTGGCGCACTGTCGACTGCGCCACCCTGCCTGCCCTCTGAGGATGCCACAGACCCGTGGTCCTGGGAACGCCTACCCAGGGGTCCATTCACATGCCTTTGGTGAAAAGCAGTGGCAGCAAGCAGCCTCGGAAATCAACAAGGCAAAGTACTCACGTTGAAGAAATTGGTCTTGTTCCTCTCGCAGAAGAGCCCCTGTGCCGGCATGTGCTGCAGTTGTTGCCACGGGATACTGCTGCCTAGCAACACGTCGCGGGCCCACTGGAGGTTCTGGGGAAACAAGAAGTAGGTTGGAAGTGAGTGTGTAGGCAGCTCACGGCGCCCACGGGGAAGGGAGGCAGTCCCCTCCTTCCTGGCTTCATTGGCAAAGCGGCTGAGCAGGAGCTCCTGCCGACACCGATCCCGCAGTTCTCCCTGCTGGCTTTGATCATCTGGCTGTGGGGTACGTTTCTGGAACTGATTTCTTGCCTAGCACAGCTGACTCAGGAGGGCATAGACAGGGACCCCTCACCCTGACCAACTACGTAAAGTTGCTGCATGGACCCAGCACCCTGTCTTCTGTTGGGGGGCCCCAACTAGTCCAAATGGTCAGTTCTAACGTGTCGGGATGTCAGCAGTTGTCCTTATCACGAACAGCAACACAGCCACCTTAGTTTCAGACTCAGTGGGGTGCTGCAGGAAGCCAGCGGCCTGCATGCTTTTGGGGGAGGAGGCTCTGTCCAAGTGCTCAGGCTGGTGCTCTCTGGGCAACGGTGCCTCTTCGTGGAACCTGGCAATGAGAGTCTGCTGGCTCAGGTGGGAATGGGGGTCAGGGTGAGGCTGGGCATGGGCCTGGCTGCCTTAGCCTTCTCACTGACCCAGAGAGCAGCCTTTCCCTACCAGTTGCCTGGCTGGACACATTCCCCTCTAAGGTCTTTACCACGGGGGCTCCCATGGCTAGGACCAGTGCTAGGTGCCCTGCATGTACCCCACTTGAAACAGTGATGTCCTATAGGGAGAGGCCTGTGGGGCAGAGCTGAGCCTGGCACTCAGGACTGCACAAGGCCAGACCCTTGTTTTCTCCACAGCACCCTCCCGCCCCAGCCATACAGCCCTCCCCCCACCCTCCCGTTCGCCACCCAGGTTCCTGCCTTGCCTTCCCTTACCACCCCCCTGGCTGGGCCTTCATCACTTCACATCCCAACTGCTGTGAACACCCTCTTAATTCTCAGCCTGAGAGCCTGTCCCACCTGCTCCCACTGTTCACTACTGGTCAGGCTGGGCTTATGAAATAGTTCCCTTTCTCACAACTTCAGGCAAAAGTGCAAACCCCAGCTTCCTGGCTTATTGGCTGGGGGCCCCCACTGGTCTGCCTGAGCCTCTGCTCCCACCTCTGCACAGTCGGTCATGCTGCAGAGGCTTCTGTGGGGCTGAGGGCTGCTCCACACCCAGCACGGGTGGGACCTTGCAGCTGTGTGGTGGTGGGGCACACAGGAAGAGAGTCCATCTGGGATGGGGACAGGTGAGCTTTAAAGCACGCATTTCCTGGATGACACACTCACAGAAGACAAAGGTGGCTCTTGGGAAGCCCGGGGGAGAGCGTCATCTCCTAGGGGAAGCCTGGATGATTAAGCCTGGCATCAACTCCAAGGCTAATTTCTACAGGGACATGGCCTGGCTCCGGGAGAGGCTGAAGGCTGAGGCCCCATAGAGGCGAGGCTGCCCTTGCCCAACAGGGCTGTAGCCTGGCCTGGCCTAACTAAGCAGGCTCAACATGGGGCTAGGGCCAGAGGGCCATGGACAGCCCCAGGAGTACAAGGGGGCACGTGCTGTCTACGGCCCTCTGCATGGTTGACCCTTCTGGCCCCGCATTCTGGTGGCTTGCTTTCTTGCTCAGAGCCCGCCCCCAGAGGGACACCCCTGAGCAGGAGTCACACCAAGGGCTATATGGGATCCCCTGTCGCTAAGTCTCAGTGGCTGTCAGGGAGTCACAGCTGCAGCTGCAGTCTGCTGAGACATTTTTTTCTTCAGGACTCGCAGGCTTTTCTAGGGCCTTAGGGACCCATGCCAAAGCTATTCATGGTGAGCGATGGGGCTTCCTGTCCACTGACGCACCCTTTCTCTGCCCCCACGTGGGGGAGACAGAAGTAGGCAGAGGAAAAGGGCTACCTGGGTATCAAGAGTCCTCGGCCCTCCACCAGGCCCCTGATCAGGAGCATGTGGCTACTCTGCTCCACACTTAGAAATTAGAGTGAACCACCCAGTCCCAGCCTTCAACTTTTGAGCTCTGATGCGCCAAGAGGGTCAACTTGCAGTTCACATTCAAATGCCCTAGCAGCGCCCAGCAGTCTGGCTGCTCAGAGAACCTGCCGCCCAGGCCAGTCCATTAATAAACCTCCGGAGGCCAATGACAAGTCCTGGCCCAGTGCTTTCTGGCCCTCACCTGTACCCCTGCCCCCACAGCAGGCCTGGGGAGGGAAGGCTGGCCTTGGAGAAACAGTACAGAGTGGGGAAACAGGGTAGGTTGGGAGTGCTTCATTACAAGGAATAAAATCCAACTCAGATTAGCCGAAGCTGGCTCCTAAGGGCCCCGCGATTCAGGGGGTCCAAAGAGAAGATAAAGCCTCAGGCCTCGGACAGTTTCAAAAAGCCCAGGAGAGAGGCTCATGACCTGCATCAGTGCTTAGCCATGACCTCTCAGGTTCAGTGTCACTTGGTTCAAAAATCTGTCCTGAGGGAGATTTAAGAGGCTCGGCCTGGGCAGATGTCTACTGCCGGTCTCATCAGCCATGGGTGGGAGCTCACAGAAAGGAGCACAGGACAGGAGACCACTACCTGCACTTTGAATATGACGGGTGAGCCTATCCATCCATGACCATGGAACTAGGGTGCAAAGGAGACCCACCTCAGGTCCAGCCTGAGTAGGTCAGGGAGGCTTCCGGAGGAGGTGACACCTGAGCTATGGTCTGCAAAAGACTGTCAGGTGGCTGAAGGGCTCACTGAGGCAACAGCCTGGACAGGCAAGGCGTCCAGGCCTCGCTGAGGACGCAGAGGCCAGATGTGGCCAGCCACGAGGCCAGTGGGGGGGCTGTGAGGCAGGGGAGGACATGGGCCACGGGACCACCCAGGGACCACAGCCTGTGCATGCTCTTCCCCTCCTCTCAGGCCCCAGGCCAACCTCTCCTCCAGCTGCGTGCCCCTGGGAGACCCAGGGCATAGGCCTGGCCTGCACTACATAGAAGGCCGAGAGAAGTTATCTCAGAGCTATGACCCTAAAGCTTCTTCTGGGGCTCCTTGGGGACTTGTAGGAAGTGTCCAGGTGACCCCTTTAAGTAACAGCCTTGTTTTTTTGGGAGGGGTGGGGAAACAAGTCTTGAAGAAGCATCTCCACAGTCACTATTTTTTTAAGAATACCAAGAAAATAAAACCCAACAGATTTCCTTCTGGCTGGGGATATGCGAGAGCACAGCACTGAGGCTGGGGAAAGTTGGGAGGGGGGACCATGGTCCAGGCCCCAAGGCTGTGGGACAAGAAGGCACATCCCTCTGTGGCTTCTGTTTCTACCACCCCTCTGCAGCTTCTCCAATGACATCAGCACCAAGACTGCCCTCCTGCCGGACAGTCAGGCAAAGCACAGAGGACCCGGGAGGGCAGAGGCGCTGGGAGAGGTCCCAGGGCTCTTAAGAGACCTGAAAACCAGGTACTTGAGGTGTTAGGAAGCACTGGCCCTGCCAAACCCAACCAGGATCAGCAATTAGCCTCCTGCAGACTTGGCCGCTGCACATCAGCAGGGGGTGTGGCTCCCCAGCTGTCTCCCAGGCCCACCAGAGAAAGAGCTGGTCGATAACTAAGGCACAAAGTGTCCAGACGGACCTTCATGTCTGAGGCCCCAGAGGGGCGCTGACAGGGTCCAGGCTAGGAGGTGAGGTGAGGAGCAGAGGAAGCTGACCCGCACACTGCACCCATACCACAGAGCCTGCCCCGCGGCTTTCCAGTGTGGTGAGGCAAAACTTGATGCCGCCAGGGCTGAGCACGGCGCCGTAACTCCTCGTCCCATGTTAATCACCCTTTTAGCAATGCAGAAACCGAGGCTCAGACAGGTTCAAGAGCTGGCCCAAGGCCCCGTAGCCAAGAAGGAGCAGAGCCAGACTAGCCTTCCAGGCCAGGCCGGAGGGACTCGGAGGCTGGCTTCTTCCCCTGTCCCCCTCAAGGTGAGCCAGTCACTAAAAATCTGCCCAGTTAAGTGTTGTGTGCTTGATACCGAGCCAGCCACCAGGAGCACCTCCCACAGCAGCCCCCTCAGGCTCTGTTGCCAACACCACTGTCTCCTAGAGCTCTCCGACACATCTAGGAATGGGAGGACCACCACGGAGCGGCATGCCACAGAAAGGCATGGCTCTTCCTGGGATACATGGGTCCCCTGAGGCTCGTGCACAGACCCTACTCTGACAGAGGGCAGAATGCACTAAATGCCCTAAAGAGGGGCAGACGAGGGTGGAGGGATCCTGACGAGAGGCATTCCTCTGCTTGAAGGCCTCACCTTCCTCAAAGCGAGGGCCAGCTCCACGCTTCGCCCACATGCCAGCTTGTCATCCCCCCACCCCGTGCTCAGCCCTCTAGCCACACTTGCCTCTGCCCCCACCTTGGTCCCGTAGGTCTCTCGGCCTGGCACTCTCATCCGACCCCCATGGCCCCACGGCCATCTTCAACAGCCTCTTCCACTGACTTCCTTACTGACACCTCCTCAGGGGCCAGATCAGTTTGAGGCCCAAAGGATGAGACAAATATTAAGGGAAAGAATGAAAGGAAGACCGGTAGCTTGCAGAAAACTGTCAGCCTGACAGGCCAAAGGGATAGCCTGAGGCCCAGAGGCAGGAAGGGGCCATAGTATATGGGGGTTAGGGAGACCCCGGACACTGGAAATGGGAGTGCTGCGGGGCAGAGCTGCTGCCCCGGGGATCTTTTATTTAAGGGAGCTGTAGGGAGAAGAGGCTGCTTGTGAGCTCCTGTGCTGGGGCAGGCTGCAGCATGAGGCCTGTCTTTTGAAACACCCTTCACTATTCTCTAGAGCAGTTACTCAGAAGCCCTAGGTCTGCCCGCGCAGTCCTCCATAAGGGCACAGAGTGTACACACTGCCATCAGGTGTGTTTTCACTCTCCATCCCCACTGTGCGCACTTGAGGGCAGGGGCTCTGCTATGCGCATCGGCCTCGCACACAACCACTGCTCTGCAGCCAGCTGCTGAAGGAATGAACGAACCACCAGCAGAAATGCACAGGAACCATGCTGGAG